CGAAGTAAAGTAAATGATTTTTCCTGTTCTTCTCCCCAAATAAAAGGTTGATCCTTTTTTGTTAATGCCGTTAAAGGTTTAGCAATTGCTGAATAACTTTCAATAAACCGCCTATAAAATCCTGCTAATCCTAAAAATGCCCGAATANAGTTTCTTATGATAAAATACGCGATCTTTGGTCTTGTGACTTATAAATTTCATAATAATAGGTCGGTTCTTTCCATTTCGCTTCGGTCCAACTCGATGACAACGATCGATAGAATCCGGTAACAATGCGAGGTTCATTTTCTTATTAATAATATCTAATACAACTTGTTCGGTGTTCTCATTGTCTGTCTCGCTTACCCCGAAAACTCGAATGCTATTCCGTCGAGTGTATTGCTCAAGTCGATCCAGTTTTTCCTCATGGTCTGCTCTACATACGGTATTGTCGGACTTCGAACGAGTAACCTCCGCTTCCAAAATTAACCTTTTCTTCGAGAATATTAACCTTTTCCTTGTATTCCCTGAGTTCATCCCTTAGAATCGACGATATTGATTTGGCGAGATTGGCAATGAACGACTCTTTCTTGAATAACTCAGTCAACACCTCCTCAAAATCACTCAATTGTTTCTTGGTGACCACCATTCTCTTTAATTAATTAACACACTCAACTTAAAAACTATCTTTAAAACGTCGAAAATCAAGTTGAATTAATCGGTAACTCAAACCACCTCGATAATTTTCGTCGACTTAACCTGGAGAGGCACGCGCACGTCTAGCTTGGTTGCATGCTTATCACAAACTCTTCACCTCCTTTACAATTTCTTCAAACACTTGTTTTCCTATAACATCGATAAACTCATCGCAGATTCTGTGGGATAAGTAAGGTGTTTTTCCACTTCCACCACCCCCGTACTTATTTATGTGTTCTTTTAAAAACGGGTCATATTTACTTAACAGTTGAAGAAGTCCTAAATAGTTTCCATTTTTTGCATTGCCGAATTTTTCACAGTCACCTCTTAGAGGAAGTCCACGTTCAGGCAGGAACCAAACTACCGAAACTATTCTCGTTAAAACATTTCGCCAGTGAACTCGTTCTTTATTGATTTGGATTTGAACTTCAGTCTATTCTTCCAGCATCAGAAGAACGCTTAAAAAACGTTAGAAGGCACTTTCGATGATTTTTGCTATTTTCATGGAACGAAATTCTATCAGCAGCATGTTTCCAGTCATTGAATCTCTCACAACAGAATGGATTTGATGACATTGATGATGTATCAAAAAATTTACATACAAAACAATAAACTCTACCTCTTGATGGAGAATATAACAACCAATCCCGTTTAACTCTATCGCCATTTTTAAGGTGCTTGTAGAAAACCTCAGCTTTACATTTTCTGGTTTCAGGGGGTTTTCCGGTTTGATGGTATACTCTTGCTTATTGGTTGAATCCAGCATTTAGACTTTGGCAACAAGAGGGTCCTTTTATTATAAAATATTCCTGAAGTCTAGCTTTTGAAAATTTGTCTCACATTGCAACATCCAAGCTAGGGATCTCATCACTGTCCAGTTGATTCTGATCATCGTTTTGGCTACACGTGTTTTCATCCGGTGCCGGTGGAATTATTTGCAAAAAAGATTTCGGTAGGTTTGGTAACGATGAAAAAACATCAGTTTCGCTGTATGCACCACTTACTGATGATTTAAGATCACTATGAGGTATGCCAGCGTCTGTCAAAACATGTTTTGGTTCATTAGGAACAGATAATTTGGCTGAGCTGTCAATATCGTCGGAGCATGGTTTTAGTTGGTTGGGTTCAAACGAAGAAGTAGAAGCCACACCAATTCAGAATTGTCAGACTGACTTGAAGAGGTTTTAAAAAAAGATGATAGTTTTGTTAATTTATTAGTTAAAATTTTTTCTTTTTTAGCTTTTTGACGCTTTTGAGCGCCACTAGGATAACTTCGCTTCATTTTTTTAGAGTACCCTTTCTACACAGTTTGCTTGATTTTGATCGACCTAGAACAAAAAGTATTGCTGCACACCTTTGATTGATAAAGAAATAAAATTCATTCATTCTGAACTTCCACACGTACTAACGTGCTAACGATATTTGATTGAAACAGCCTAACCTATCCTCATGAACCCTGAATAGCCGATTGAATTATATTGGGAGTATTGGGACATTTATTGGCAAGTTATTGGCAGTTTCACAGCAGTGAACATCAAAAGTTGATGGTATTTCTTTAAGTCATCACACAGTATTAAAACCAAATAATTGATTCGAACCAAATTCTTTAGTAGACTTACCTGATTGATTGCTCCTTCTCATAGAGAGAGTTTCTATTCTATACGGTAACCTATACAAACTAAATTTTCCATTCTGAACTTCCAATTTCGGTGTTAACACCTTAAATGGGAAACCTTTAGTTAAAACTGGGGAGGGAGTTTTCATAATTTGTGTTTGGCACTTGCTTTTCTCACTCATATTTATGTCATTTTGTAAACAGTTCCCATGTGTAGTAGAAGATTTTTGTCTTTTTGATGTCATGATCAATTTCAAGAGAATATGTCCTAACTTCAAAATTCCCTGATTATAATCAAGAATAGCTTGATTGCTAATTAGGAAGTCGCATCCGATTATCTCATCGGTTTCAATGGCAATATTTTTACAAATCACACAATTAATATTAAATTTTTTGTTTTTCGCCCTAAAATCTAACAATGAAAATCCTACTCCTTCTATTTCATTTCCCGTGATACCTTTTAAAGTTATATGTTGCTGCAAATCTAAGTGGTAATTAATTTTAGACCGGAGTAAACTCTCCTCCTTCAATAACGATACTGCTGAACCCGAATCAATCAAAAATGATAATTTTGTACACCCCATTGTTAAAAAAATTATGGATTTGTCTGCCTCTGAATTTATAGCACTGCTAACCGATTTTACTATTGCGTTTTTATATGTAATCTGATAAAAACATCCGAGTACATACGAGGTAAAACTGAGTATGGGAGCCTAAAACTGAGTATAAAGCGAGTAGTATGGTTACTCGTACCGACTTGTCCCCTTGATTGGTTATTCTTCTTCCAACACAATTTCCAGAAAAATGTCCCGGTTGATAACATTTATAACACACATTATTTGATTTTTGATTATATTTAAAATCAGGTTTTGTTGAATTAGATTCGAAAGGTTTAAAAAATGATGAATGATACGAAGTGGATGGGCGATTCTTTTTATCGAATTGCTGTGGTTTAAAATTTGGTTTATTTAGTTTATTAAAACTAACCCGTGGTGGAGTTGAATGAGGCTGAGATTTAGAAACACCTTCTTGACAGAAATTACAAGCATATTCAGAATAATAACTATGTGAACAGTAATTAATTGTATTTTCCGTCATCATCTGGTTCAATTCTTCTTGACTCGCTATTTCTGCGGCTTTATTGAGTGTTAAATCACTCTCCCGCATCAGCAAAACTCCAATAATCCTAGAAATTTCCCGTTTTATTCCCATTCTAAATTGCGCCTGCCTTGCCTCCCGTTCCGCCTGTGAAGCGTCAATTAAATCCTCTTCTAATACCTCCTGTCCAATTAATTTTAGTCGCGTGAGAAATTGACTGATAGTTTCGTTACGGCCGTGTATACATCTCGACAAAATTAGTTGAGCCTGACCTGGTATTTTCAATTTCGAAAATTTTGTAATAAATTTTTGTTTGAATTGCTTATATGTTATTTCATTTGTTGTTAAATTTGATTCGCTTTTATAGTAACTAAATGCGTCTCCCGTTAATCTACATCGCACGATTTTAATTAAGTCTTCGTCTCCAATATTATCTAAAGTTGCTCTCTGTTCCACGCGTTCAAAGAAATGTTTAACGTTTTCTTTACCAGTGAAATTTTCAATTGAATTTAAAATAGATGCTAATGATGGTTTAGGCATTTCAACTTTTACGATAGGTTTTTCATCTGTATTTGTAGCCATTATTTTGGTTTTTAGTTCGATTAAAACTTAAATAAAGTGTATATGGTATTTGTAAATGCAAAATAAAACTTTTATAAAGGGGTCCGTTATCAACAGTAATTCGCAACTTGATGATTTCGCGATTTCCACAGTGCGATACGCTGGAACAGCTCAGACCGTCTGGATCTGAGTTTATAATATGATAAATTTGTTTTAGCAAAAATACTACCTTTCTCTCTCTATCTCATTAAAAAAAAGATTTGAAGCTCTATTTTAAGTCAAATGACCGACACAAAATAACAGTGAAAATAATTCCGATTTTTACATAACCAAATCTTTGTTGTTGGGATTAATTTTAATTCGAATAAAGGGGAATTTCCCATATTTTTAAATACATCTCACCGTTAACACATCTCCACCCGTCTTCAACACACATCCCACTCCGCTGCCACCAAATATGCAACCACCGCCGAGCGTGAGATGGTAAGAGGCCCCCGAGTACATATATTCTCGGAGAAGGGTATTCTCGTCGGGTCCACTCTTTATAGGAGCCTCTTAACGTGGTCAAGTGTGTCAAAAGACAAGGGGGAAAGGATCAAGCGGCGAATGTCAAAAAACAAAATACAAAAGATAAATAAAACTTTGAATTAATTAATGACAATAGTTTATTTTCTTTTAGACACAAATCAAATATAAAACAAAACAAAAAACAGTAAATAATTCTATCTAGTATTCACATAATGTTTTTTTTTTGGGTTGATTGACACCTCTTTCTTCTCTTATTTTTCTCTTTTTTTTTTAGTCTTTTCCACTTTTCACTCCCACACTTTAGCCACGTCTCGACTCTAAAGGTGCCTTTAGTGCGAGGGAGATTTGGGTATTTGGGTATTGGGAGATTTGAAGGAGGGAGAATGACACTGTCACGAAATCTATTTAACTGCGCAGGGTGTTTGGGTATTTATTTTTGGGTAACCTAACAATAATTTGTAGTACAGTCATAGTACAGTCGAGTATTGTATTGTATTGTAGTATAGGTTTCCGATTTTTTTGCATCGTACTAAATATGACAAACACACTACTGTTGTTAGCATTCTTGAAGAAACGACAAATTATTAATTCTACAAAAAGAAAGAAACGACATTTGCGGGTATGTACCTATATTGCATATTACATGTACATGTATTACTTTTTTAGTACATACTACTTACCTTATTTATTTCAGGTTCATCCCATTTTACAAGGGAGGAGCACTGGAGGAACAAGAATTTTAATAGAAGAACTCCGACTTGATTCGGCAAGATTTGTAAATTATTTTAGAATGTCTAGTGAATGTTTTGATAAACTTCTAAATAAAGTTGGGCCACACATTGTGAAAATTGATACTTTTAGAGAAGATGTCATCGGTCCATCACAACGATTAGCTTTAACATTAAGGTTAGTTTTAACAAAATAAGTACCATAGTGTAAAAAGTGGTTTTTTTATTATTATTATTTTCTATAGATTTTTGGCATCTGGAGACAGTATGACAAGTCTCTATTATTCTTACCGAATATCTTTAATATCTACATCTAATATAATTAGAGAAACAACAAGAGTAATATGGGATGTTCTTGCGCCAGATGTTTTTGTAAAGCAGATTGAAGAAGATTGGAAAAAGGTAGCAAAAGGCTTCGAAGAGAAATGGAATTTTCCACATTGCATTGGTGCAATCGATGGGCAGCATGTTGTAATACAGGTAATATCTCCATTCTATTGAAGCTTGTAGAATGACTTTATTAAATTTGGTTACAATCTACATTTTAGGCTCCTCAAAATAGTGGATCATTAGAAAAATTCGAATAACTCGAGAACGGCGGAATCAAATTGCAAAAAGTAAAGTTATTTATAAACCTTGAAAACAGACAAATCCAAATATGTAAAAATAGGGTGTTCCATCTAAAGAAATAAAGTAGGTGGCGACTTCCGGTATAACCGGAAATGCTAGAAATCTGAAAATATTTTAGTCGAAGAGAACGCAATTAATAATACTTATAACTGAATTTTCAAATTTTTGTTTTGGCCAGAACCCTATAAAGTTCTAATGGACGGTCGTCGTGGATGACCCTGTATAATTAAATCTACAGTATGTTTACACAATTTTATTAAACTTGATGCTAGTTGTCAATATATGTTGATTACGAGAATCGGAATGGCGAAATAATTAATGGAATGTGGCGCAACGAAATGGGGAGTGAAAATGCACTTGGAGAGTTATCGAGGACTGGCTCAAACACATTTACAAGAAATGCTGGTCAGATTCGTGATGAATTTTCTTGTTTTTTTAATGATGAAGGAGCTATTCAACTAGTACAAATTGATTTTTGTACTAGTTAAAGGTTGTATAATTTAAGTTAATAAAAATAGGTTTGTGCTTGTTTGCATATTTTATTTTACGTATATATTTACAACAAATATTCATGATTTTATCCCTCAGTTTCGTCACCTTCACATAACATATTATGTAATAGTTCTAAATATTTCATTTGGAGCTTTCCTTTTTATTTATTTATTTATTTACGCTCACGGGACACAGCACAGGACAAACCCAATTCAAGCTATGCCACTAAAAAAATACAATAAGAAAGAAAAAAAGGACACAAAAAAAACTTAAATCAGTATCTCAAATTGCATAAGTAATTTAACAAAAATAACAGAAAAAAAAAGAAAAAAACCGAGGTATCTAACAATCAGCACGTGAAAGGACAAGAACTAATTGTAAGTATAAATCAATCTATATAAATTAATCTATATACGGCATGTTCCCAAAAGCAGCAAGCGTCGCTCTTTTAAAGGAGATTAAGGAATCGCACGCAAATATATCAATGGCAAGACGGTCAGCAGAACGAGCAGAGCGCAGCAATGGCGAATGCTGATAGGAGTTAGTGCGCGGAGTTGTAGTAAAGAACAGAAAATCAAAATGAAGCGATCTGGGCGGGAAGTGGAAGTTAATCAGTGATGTAAGCGAGGATGATAAAGTGGTTTTTTTATTATTATTATTTTCTATAGATTTTTGGCATCTGGAGACAGTATGACAAGTCTCTATTATTCTTACCGAATATCTTTAATATCTACATCTAATATAATTAGAGAAACAACAAGAGTAATATGGGATGTTCTTGCGCCAGATGTTTTTGTAAAGCAGATTGAAGAAGATTGGAAAAAGGTAGCAAAAGGCTTCGAAGAGAAATGGAATTTTCCACATTGCATTGGTGCAATCGATGGGCAGCATGTTGTAATACAGGTAATATCTCCATTCTATTGAAGCTTGTAGAATGACTTTATTAAATTTGGTTACAATCTACATTTTAGGCTCCTCAAAATAGTGGATCATTATATTACTACAATTATAAACACTCCCATAGTGTTGTTTTATTAGCGGTAGCCGATTCCAATTATTCTTTTGTTATGGTTGATATTAGAGGCAGGGGACGTGAGAGTGATGGTGGAATATTTAAAAAATCTAATATGGGCTATAAATTAAGTAAAAATGAACTCAATATGCCACCGCCAGATTATATTGGAAATCAGAGACTACTTCCTTATGTAATAGTGGCAGATGAAGCATTCCAATTAACAAATTTCATGTTGCGACCATATTCAGGACGTGGATATACACAACTCCAAGATGTTAAGAAAGTATTTAATTATCGTCTATCTCGGGCACGTCGTGTTATAGAGAATACTTTCGGTATATTAGCAGCCAAATGGAGGATTTATAGGAAACCAATAATCTGCGATGTTAATACAACCATCAATACAGGGTCATCCACGACGACTGTCCACTAGAACTTTAAAGGGTTTTAGCCAAAATAAAAATTTGAAAATTCAGATTTAAGTATTATCAATTGCGTTCTCTTCGACTAAAATATTTTCAGATTTCTAGCACTTCCGGTTATACCGGAAGTCGCCACCTACTTTATTTTTTTAAATGGAACATCCTGTATATTTTTACATATTTGGATTTGTCTGTTTTCAAGGTTTATGAATAACTTTATTTTTTGCAATTTGATTCTGCCGTTCTCGAGTTATTCGAATTTTTCTAGAAAAATCTGCTCCTACAGACATTTGTTCAAAAAATCAGAGAACACTCAATTTTCGGGATATCAATTTAGAATTCAGAACATGATGGAGTATGTTTTGGTGCCGAGTACGGCTGTCTAGAACGTTTGGTCACTTTACTATGGCACGTTACCTTTTCGAAACTTGGAAGTACCATAACTTAATTTTTTTAAATGGCACCCCCCATATTTTATTACTTAGTCGTCTTCAGTGTCTCATTTTACATCTTTTATATCCCATATGTCCTATACCTAACATTTATAGTTTGGGAGATAATTAGGGTTTTTTGAAAAATGCGCACACATCATATCGATGTTTAATCTAGCGTGCCATGAATACCTAGTGCAACCTAGTGAATAACCGAATGAAGTGGAGGTTTGAAAATTTGCAGACTTGTGATGTTTAATGCCAGCTTTTAACTAAAGTATTTTCAGGTTCCGGGTACTTGTGGTTACACCGGAAGAGGTGACAATTTTTATATGATTTTTCTAGAAAAATTCGAATAACTCGAGAACGGCGGAATCAAATTGCAAAAAGTAAAGTTATTTATAAACCTTGAAAACAGACAAATCCAAATATGTAAAAATATACAGGGTGTTCCATTTAAAAAAATAAAGTTGGTGGCGACTTCCGGTATAACCGGAAGTGCAAGAAATGGTTAGGAAA